TATAAATACTTGCTGAATAAATTTTAATTTGGCTATAAATGTCTCTCCAAAATTAAGCGCTCTAGGTTGGATTGCTCAGTTTTCAAGTGATTTTTATATCCAAAGTAAAATTTGTTTTGTGAGTACAGTATTTCTCGAATGAAAGATACTTTGAAATTTCAGCATGAAGTTTGCATGCTTTGAGCATTTCAGCATTGATATAAAGCATGCAAACTCTACGCATAACTATACCAATGGCTCTAAGACGAATGGCACAGTGGGATGTGCAGTTGCGGTTGGTGCAATGGTGGTGTCAAGATGTCTCAGTTCAAGCTCGTCAATCTTCACCGCTGAGCTTGTCGGTGTCAGCTGTGCCCTTAACCTCATAGATCAACTGCCTGGAGATGACTTTGCAATATTTGTAAATTCCAAAAGTGTGGTGCAGGCTTTGAGAGCTTATAATAGCAAGCACACCATCATCTGGGAGATCCTACCCGGGCTGGTGCGCCTGGCAGGGACAGGGAGAGCGGTGAGCCTGTGCTGGGTGCCCAGACACGTGGGGGTGCGAGGCAACAAGAGGAGAGGGCGGATGAGGCGGCGGTAAATGCCGCCTCTTTGGACCAGGCGATCCATAGTGATCAGGTCCTTTGCCGGCACCACTAGGTCCCTTGCCGGAGGCGGTGTTTACCGCCGCCTCTTCGGACCAGGCGATCCATAGTGATCAGGTCCCTTGCTGGCACCACTACCCTATCATCAAGGCAAGCATTCGCCATATCTGGCAGAAACAGTGGCTGAATGTGGGAGAGAACGAACAAAGAGCAATTAAGGATTGTGTACAAGCGTGGAGTTCATCATACCAGAAATCCCAGAAGATGGAGGTAGTGCTGTGTAGACTAAGGATCGGCCACACGTGCCTCACTCCCAGCTACCTGATTGAACGCCATCCAATGCCATATTGCAATGATTGTTTGGTACCCCTGACGGTCTTGCATGTTATGGCAGAATGCCCAAGCCACAGTGATACTCGGCAATACTACTACCCCAACACCACTTCTCTCAGCAAAATGAAATGCTGTCTAGGATGCTGAGGGAAGTTCCTCAAAGCACCTTTAGAACTGACAACCTTAGACAATATCTAATCAAGTGTAACCTGCTGCCAGATATCTAGCACAGCACCTTGACAGAGGTCAGAAAAGACCCACACTGAGAAAATGCCATATTTGTGTCAACAGTAACAGAAGATGGACTGAACCTGTGCCTTGGAAACCGAGAAGCAAACACCCTAGACCAGATGGATCAGGCTATGCGCCTGAAACCAACAAAGAAACCTGACCCTGCAAACCTAATATTGCACCTTCGGCATGAAATAGACGCAACTGATCTGAAGCGCTAGAAACCTCTCCCCTACTACTACTTTGAAATTTCTCAATGTTAACAGCATTGAAATCCATGCAGAAATGTAAATTTTTAATATTTTTTAGGCTAAGATTTAGGCTTCTACAGACTTGAAACTGCACTTTGTCCAAGCCTTTTGCTTTCAAATTAAAAATTCACCGCCAAGCAAGGCTAGCTGCTGTAGCGCTGGTGCAGCTTTCTGCCAACCCAACACTGGCCTGCACCTTTTGTTAATTTAGTGTGCAGCTATCTTTTGTTCCTCCCCTCAGGGGGGCCTTCTGACGTGTGTCTGTGCTTGTCAGAAGTCCTATGGGATTTCGCGCTCCTAGGGGGATTGTTCCTGAGCGCCCCACCGCTGAGCTCGCGGTGTCTGACTGCAGATTTCAGTTGTGGGGTTAAGTTATTATGTAGGTAGGATTCCTTACATTTCCCTTCTCTGTCTCTCTCATGCGGGCGGCCAACGTCCCGTGTAAGCGACCTCTTGTTTGAGTGTCTTCGTTTCTGTTACTTTTCACCTGTCCCTCCTTGTCACTTCGTCTCTTTGAGATGCTAACCAGGGTTGGCGATTTTTTTGATTTTTTAAAAAAATCAAAAATCAATGATTTTTTTTATTTTTTCATGATTTTTTTTATTTATTTGATTTTTTTTATTTTTCAACTTTTTTGTATTTTTGAGGTGTTATTTTTTATGTTGCAATTAGCCTAATAACAATAACAGTATATGGATCATAATGGATGGCTAATAAGGGCACTTCAATAATGGCCAACAGGCCAAGGTAGTGTTCACCACTTGGGGATTTTTGGGTAAACAATTATTGTAAATTTGACACATTTTTCGATGATCTCACCACGTGGCATGCATTGTCTCTCTTTTTATCTCAATATTTTCCCACTAGATGGCCAAGACCTAGTGTTTTTGCAGTATTTCGACACGCAAATGTATGACGTCACCATTTCAACCATCAATTAACGCATGGAACTAAAACAAAGCTTAATATAAAGGAAAAGCTGGAGAGGTGATGGAATTACCTACGATGTCGGAATATACCGCGTTTACCCTATGCGTGCCACACTCAGGAATCCTGAGTGTGGCACGCATAGTTGCGAGTCAGGATGATGTATGTTTTTGGGTAATTTTCCTGCGCATAATGACTTTTTTTAAGCCATTGCTGCGCATAGTCGGCGCAAAGGATGATGTATGTTCTTGGGGAATTTTCCTGCACATAATGACTTTATTTTTAAGCCATTGGTGCGCATAGTAGGCGCAACCCCTGGCCATCCCCACTTACGCGAGCCTGAGTCCACGCGGTGCGCAGACACATTTTGTCAAGGGACAAGAGACAGAAAACTTATAATACTCAATATATGTTTAAGTATACATCAATAATTTAAGATTTTCCTTGATATGGAAATTTTCCAAAAGTAAAAATCTAGAAATTTAATTTAGAATGAATTTTCTACAAATTTCTTATGGCAACATCTGACATCGTTTGTTTACCTTCTGTAGACTGTATCTAGATGAGGAAAGTGTTGAAGAAATAAGTCCTCAGAAATTGGGCAAATGAAGTAATCAAATATTAGTGTTATATGAAAGATTTTGCTTCTTCTATATATACCATCAAACGGGGTAAAAAGGGATGGGCGGGGTAAATAGGGATGCCCGTCCCACATTCCGTAGAATAGAAATAATGTAGCAGCTAAACTAATCAAAATATTGCAAAACTAGAAATAGTGGCATAAACTTCTTCAACATTTTTACTATCTATTATGTATAAAGCTAGTCAAGAAATCAAACATTTATTAGCTCTAAAAAATTGCTGATAAAAGTGTGAAAAGTGCGATTTTGGAAAAGTACCTCAGCTAAAGTCTGAAGCAAAAAAAAAATATTTGCCGTATTGAAAAATTTTACTTACATATAAGTTGCACCCAGGTGTTGGCTTGAAAATGTAATTGACAGAATTTGCCTATCTCATTCCAAAAAAAAATGGCAGCTATTTCCGTGCAACGGGGTAAAAAGGGACACCCCATGGGGTAATTAGGGACACCCTTAAAAATGCATTTACAGTAGAACCTTGGTTAGCAAAGGCTCCAGTTAACAAAAAAATTGATTAACAACAAAGAATTTTGATCACATTTACCTCGCTCAGCGAAAAAAAATTCCCTTATCGAAAAATTAGTGCATCATTGGTCGTCACAAAATTGTACATAGAATGCTATATATAGAATTGTACACCGGGCATCATAGAACGAAAATTAATTGACCTAAACTATGATTTATTTCCTCAAAATATATGATGGTTGCCACTAAAACATTATTTTCTGTTTCAGGTATGTTTTTCTCGATCTTTTTTGTTATAGTGAAATCATTATAGGTGATGTTCATCTTGACTTTCGGTGCGAGATAGCTAAATAGCTGAAGCGCTAGTAAACATTTGGCCACTAAAATAACTAACTATCTTTTGTTTGGAAAGGTGCTAGTGTGTTGTGCATCAGTCTGTAAAGAAGCATTGACTGGTTCAAAATGTCATAAGAACATGTTCTTTTATATTATCTATAGAACATTATAACCAGGAAAACATTATAACCAGGAAAATAAAGTTTTTCTGCTACATATTAAATATTTAAATATCTTATTCAATTTTTTTGGCATTATTTTTAGGTCAAAGAAATCCTTTTAAGGGTTGGATCCTTTTATGGGTTGAAAAAGTTGAATTTTAGTTTTCACCATTTATTTGGTTGGCACCCCAGTGTAGATATTTTTATTACTTTATTAGAATATGTAAGTACCTTTATTAATTTTCCCATACTCTCTGGCTCACATAAATTTTTTTTCCACCTCCAAGTCCTAACCAACTAATGAAATTGATAGGGAAATGCAAACTCATTAGTAAGAGAATTGTGCTGCTTTTATCAAATTAGTTGAAAATACCAGGCAATTACTGTTTAAATTTGATTGCCAAGAATGATCTAAACTGTGAATATGTTTGCATCTAGTTATTCATCTTGATTAGCAAAGTTGTTTTGTTGGTTGAGAAAACAAGGAGCAATGTTCGGTACCAAGGAAATTTCCAAATCTTAGTTCATTTCCTGATCAAACATCAAGCAAGTAGGAATTTCAATTCTAGTTAAATGCTAGAATTAAATTATTTGATTTAGTAAAACAATACATTTGCATCTTTACATTTACATAAACAAAGTTTGAAAGTTTGAATAAAAAGGAAAAATGTTAGTGCAGTGATTGCATTTAATACATTTTTCATGTGTGATTTAGTTCTCCAATTTGCAAAATTATTAAAAATACATACAAGTAAATATATCATATTGTAGTTCCTACTTTCTTGTAATGATTTCTGAAATTTAAATTTTAGGATGTTTCTATGTTTGTCCATGAAAAAGTTATGAACTTCATATTTATCTGAAGAAATAAAATATATATTCATTTTAGTCTAAATTAGCTTAGAAACAATTAATGTGAACCTCAACCTCAAGTCCTGACCTCTTGAGGTGATCTAAAATGACCATTTTGGGAGTAAGTGGGGTAGTTGGCAATCTCGTGCAAAACAGCCTTTTTGTACAAAGTATAATGTTTTTGGATGGAATTTAAGTCTATTGTTCCTCGCAGTTGGCTGATTACATGGATGAGCCGTTCATTGTGGCTGCATTCAGAGGACTGGGGGAAGACACGGTGCAAAATGTGAAGGTCATGAAGAACAGGTACACAGGACATCCTGCTGGGTACTGCTTTGTCAACTTCTCTTCGGATAACGCCGCCCTCACCGCCATGCACAAACTCAACGGAAAAATCATCCCCAACAGTCAGCCAGTGGGTATTTCTCATCACTTAGTGCAGTAGTTGCTGTCACTCTTTACTGCTATTTTCATGTCGTTTTTATAACCAGGTTTTTCTCTGACAGGTATATTCTTATTGTTGAATACTTTTCACGAATTTTTCTGTAGGGATCAGTTAGTCAGTTCTATTTTGTTCATTAATGAATACTGTTCTTTTGAAATTAGACTCTAAATTTGCTTTGATTTTCACTCTTGCTGAGTTGATCTAAATTATGTTTTAATCTATTTATTGCAGTTTTTCATAGTATTTAGGCTGTGGTCTAGAAGTTTCTCACCACAAGATTTTCCTGTATAATTTCAAATTTATACCTATCTAGATTAATCCTGAAGTTTAACTATTTCTGGGAAGTTGATCCAAAAACGAAGTTTCATTCGCGCTTGCTCATGATAGTTTGGTAGATGAACTTTTGATAACGAAGCTCTTAGAAGCTGTTCAACCCAGATGCTTGAAACGAGCATTATCCTCAGATTCTGTGCTTCTTTTCAGCCCATAAGGTTTAAGCTCAACCACAGCAGCACGCGCGGCAACACCGCCGACAAGGAGTTCTCCCTGTGGGTGGGCGATCTCACTCCTGATGTAGATGACTTTGCTCTCTACAAGACCTTTGGCTCGCGTTACAACAGCATCAAAACGGCCAAAGGTGGGCACTAAAAAAATCTTCAATTTTTATTATTTCTTTTTATACTGAATTAATCCACTATTGAAATGGGTCACAATAAACCCCTATCTCCTATGACATGCATAGATTTATTGCATTCCTTCTCATGCTCATATTTGTTCATGAAATATTATGTTAATGGTTTGGTTTAATAATAAATTGTCCTTAAATACGGATTGCTTTTTTGCAGTTATCTATGATCCGTCGGGGCAGAGCAAAGGGTTTGCATTTGTGAGGTTCTACCAAGAGGAAGAGTACCGGGATGCCCTCACGCACATGAACAACTTCAAGGGATTGGGGCAGAAGCCGCTCAAAGTTAGCTATGCGGTGCCTAAGAAGCAAACCTACCCTGGCATGTGAGAACCTCTATTCTTAACGGTCACTGATATGGCTAATTGATCGCGTCTTGTTTCCTATTTGCTTATATTTATTATATAGTGAATCAACGATCGTGTATGCTAGAAGGGTATAACTTTCTCATACATATTGTGTTGCAATTTTGATCCGATCGTATGCCTGAAGGTAAATATTCATGTAAATTTATAGAAAAGACGCACTTATCATTTCTTAGATCTTATGAAAATTCTTGATGCAAAACTTCTAGATGCTGATTTACGTCCAAGTTGTTGGTTTCATTTTGGCATGTACATGCAGTCTCAGCAGCGAGTGACGTCATTCAATATTAGTGCCTTAAAACCTGCAGGTCACAAGGAGGCGGCGATTACAACCAGCAATACTATGACCAGTACTGGAACAACTACTCTTCATGGCCGGGGTATGGTAACGGTGGACCAGACTCTCAGTACTACGATAACTACAACAGCGGACCTGGCGGCTACACTGAGTACGATCAGCCGTCCTCTGCCCAGCAGGACGACAAGCCGACCAAGGAGGACTTCGAGCCCGTGGGTGAGTCTCGCTGCAATCGTTCGTGACCAAGTCTTGTCAGTCAAGTACTCTTCATTGTATGAACCATTACATTGCCAATTGATAGTTTCTTTGACAATCCAATTTCCTGCTCATTTATTGTTGTCAAGATAAAAATTCTCTTTTTTTTTTTAGTTTCCCATCACCGTCATTATGCGTGAAATAATTACTGGAGAAATTGATTCGATGCAGTATAAACGATCATTTAAATTTTAAGTGCATGTCAAAGATTGTGTGTTTCAAGCCTGGCGAAATAAAATGTATTCTTAATGATAGAATTCTGTGACAATCAAAAATGGAGGGAAGACTTGTCAAAGCAAAAATCTTGAATTAAAAATTTTAATTTTTAAATCCAGCTTTAAATTTAATTTTAAAAAGAAAATAGAGGTCTCCCTTACATTTTAAATCATGACGCAAATTAAAGTTTCGTGCATGAATGAGTTATAACGGGGCTCTCTTCAATTATGTTACTTCAGTTTCAATATTATTAATTAGATTCTGAATAACGTAGATACACAAATTGCAAACATTGTACATTCCGAGAAGAAAAAAGTAACACTGCCGTTGTCTCTTCAGAGTGGAATGTGCCGCTGGATATCGAGCAAATCAATAAAAACTTTATTGAGTGCAATGAAGAATTGTGGTCGACACTGGAGAAGCAACGATGGAACTTCTGGGATAACGCAGGCATTGACTACGTGTAACCATAAAATCATTTCATACCTCCAACCTTCTTGCTATAATATATAATGACTTAATCTTCATGACGTTTTATCCTTGGTGTGGGTGATGAGGATGAAGATAAAAGGACAAGCATTCATAAATTTTATACAAGTATGTTTGCACAGCAGCTTTTGCTACCCATCAGAGCAGTTACTTTCAAGCGACTCCTTCTTCCTCAAAAACTATTGACTCGTCGGTGAACTTGTGGATATCTTCAGCGTACCAGTCGACATGCTCTATGGTTTGCTCCTCAGGGAAATGTGTGGGGAAAGGCGGGTGGTTGTCAGGGTCCCTGTACCGGTGATGCAACAGGCCGCTGTCATAGAGGTTGACGTAATCGTTTATGGCTCCAGGTATCTTGCCCAACACCCACAGCACGTTGTAATGCGAATTGATCCGTAAGATCTGGAACGTAACACAAATATTTATGGTATTGATTTATGTTCACTGCACCTCTAAAATGCTTAATAAGTAGTTTTCACGTTGCGACTTCTACCTAGCTAGCGTTCGTGAACTTGACAATATTGCACCTCTTCACTCCTATGAAACGTTAAGGAGCTCAATGTACAAATTTCCGACGCAACCTAATCTGTGTAATGCTCTTCACAGCATTTCGTCAACAATTGGCTACGACACGAGAGAAACGTGAAGCTGTGTTGTTTCTACGTGATTTTTTGACGTTGATGTGGCTTGCCGATTTCATGAAAGAATTCAAAATTTTTTCACAATGCATCACAATTGTTGCCTTATCTGAAATTAATTAATTTGGAGGAACTTTTCGTATAATTTTGTTCCAGTTATGTAAGCAAGAGTTAAAAATTGTATACATTACTCTATAATTCGAACGTGTAGCTCAAATGGTAAATGGTTCCTCCCGGATGTGATTGGTCTAACTCTTGTTAACAAAACTATAACAAATGCAACCCATCATTGATATGAACTGTTCCTCAGAGATATACACACGGCTTATACGTTTAACTACACGAAACAAAACTACAACTGCAATTCAGTAATAAGCACAAAGCAAAAGCAAGACATCACACCAGTGATTACACCAGGTTTATTTTCATCACTTCGTAAAGATGTTTACGGTCTGAGACGCCGGCAATGGCATGAAGCTCCTGCCACTCGCACCTTGATGGTCCGTCCTATCAGTAAACCGTAAAATTCACACGGTACAATTATTATTACATTGGGACAGAAAGCAATTAACATTACTGCTTCACGGCTTATGTGCAGTATTTTTATTACGTATTGGTGCCCGATGGTTCGCGGCGACTGCAAGAGTGATGCTCGATCAAAAGGCGGTGAGGATATACTACCAAAGGAACAGTATTTTTTCTGCACGCACTCATCCTAGATACCAAAGTAATAAATGCAAGCCACGTTAGACCGCAGTAATACAGTTTGGTCAAGAGTCCATCACGTCAGAAGTTAATATCTGGGAAAAAGGAAGTGAATGGCGAACATTACTTCAACTAGTGCCGTGGCTTCCCTTTGACAATAACGTCGATCGTTTAGTCGTCAATATTTTTTTTTCTAATGCCTTAACGTCCTGTAAGCAAAATATTTTTTCAATTTGAATACTTGCAATAAATCAAGGGTCCACAATTCCTAAGAAGCAACTGACAATTTGACTAGTTAAATCTATTATGAAGAAATTTCAGGACACAAGTAATGAAATAAGTGCAAATTGAACATCCTCATCCTTCCGTCATCAATTAAGGGGTCGTGAACTGGCTTTGCATTAAGAACTACGGTGATGAAACGTAACAGTTCTGATATGGTATACATTTTCAACAAAATGCTTACGTAAATCCCGCAATATCGATGTAATCACCAGGCCTGAAGTGCGTTGCGTGTAACGGCGTCCCTGGCTGCAGGATTGCGTTGTCTGTGACCAAGAATTTTGTGAGCTTCTTTTTGGGCATGACACCAGCCTCCTCGAACATATTGAAGTACTCCTTCGTGAACTGACCAACAAAATTGAAGAGAACTTATCACAGGGGAGATTGAGTACTCAAAATATTTGAAGACATACTTGCAATCGCCAAGATTACAGTAGATATTTAGAGGAAGAAAAATGAACTTGCTTACCGATACAATCGAACAGAATAACGTACTTTCTGATGCCGAATTTCAGAGATGTTTAGAGAAAAGCAGTAGCATAATCAGTGGCAGCACAAAAGAAGACTCAAGAAGAGATAGTTAGAATTATTGCATCACATGCCAATGACGAACAAAATGACTTTTCAAGCACCAAGTGATAAAACACGACTTCAAGTTAAATTCATCTATTCCTCTTTGATTTAAAACTGTGTAATGTGTGTAAATCAGAGTTAATCTGTGTTAATGTAAAACTCCGAGGAATGATGGAAAATCAACAACTCTCAACAGTTATATTTCAGATTTGAAAACTTATTATTCAATACTTGCATCACAAACCTAAAATCTAAAAAGTTGGAAAATTTTTATTTCATGGCTCATAAAAACAGGCCTCTGAACTTTTCACTCTAGCTGATGATCAGCCCAGTTAAACACTTTGCTCACCAGCAGAAAACAGGCCAAGTATAGCAAATTTCTAACTAGCAAAGGATAGGCAAGTCTAGCGCTTTCCTAACCAGCAAAGGATAGGCAAGTCTAGTGCTTTCCTAACCAGCCAAGGATAGGCCTAGTCTACTATATTCCTCACCAGCCAAGGATGGCCTAGTCTACTATATTCCTCACCAGCCAAGGATAGGCCTAGTCTACTATATTCCTCACCAGCCAAGGATAGGCCTAGTCTACTATATTCCTCACCAGCCTAGGATCAGCCGAGTCTGAACCAACAAGCAATGCACCGCGAGGGCGTTTGCTCAGACGGACGTGGTGCAGATGAGCATTCTTGATGAGCTCCGAGGCCGGTATATAGCGGATCACGTGGTTGTCACTTATCTGTCAGACACAATTTTCACTTAGACATTCATATAAAATATTAGTCACAGGCGCTTCTGAGTAATTCACTGATTTTACTCCATTTGATATGCAGAACACCTGGTAAACGTAAGGACAGTACATAAGAGGTGAGCGGAAGTGTAAGTTAAAATTATTTGTAAGATAAAAATTAGAGAAGAAGCTGTTCAACTTACATGGATCATGGTTGTGAGTAATTTTGTTCCATCTTTCTTCCACATTATTGTTGAGCCGAGTTTTTTGCCAATGAGACCACACCTCTGAGACTTTGGAGCCCACTCTCCTATGGGCCATGGAGCCTTTTCCAGAGGAGACTCATACAAGGTCTTGATGGTCTCTTCTACAAATTCCTCATTCTCTGTGGTTATTCCCTCTGGATGCATCTAAACGAAGTTGAAGACAAAATTATCTCTGATCGTTTTATCAAGAGTTGACAATGAAAAAATTGCAAAAAAAAAAACGAAATTGAAAAGAGCAATTTCGATGAAGTCAGTGTTCATTGAAGCTGACTTGGAGAATGAGTGGTTTGGTTACTTCAACAGGGGATCAGCAAAGCAAGGCTTTGAATGACTTACATTCACCTTCTCTACAAATTTCAAACTTTTTCTTATTGATCTTCATGCAGAACTGTCTTATTTGTGTTAAAATTCATGGAATGTCAATTAAAATATGGAAAACAGTTTAAACGAAGAAGAAGCATAAAAGAGCAATGCAAATACCAAGACACCAGAATCAAGTCTTAACTTTTGATTACATCAAATTTGCTTGCATCATTCTATTTTGAAAATTTCACACACTATTTAAAATTTGGCCAAGCATAAGAAGTAATATCAATAAATATTCAAGTGATATTTTTATACTTTAACATGCTTTTGGTATTATGTCAAATTCAGTCCCTTTATATACATATCTACCATAACAATTTGCAGTTCAGGAATATGGAATTTGCAAGAACCTAACTTCATTGAAAAAAATCTGAAAATGGTTCCACTACAATACTAGCAATATGAAATACTAGTAATACATATATACTGTATTGCGACTAAAAAATTGAAGGATGAGCAGTTTAATTTTGTCACTAAATATACAGTAAAAAGGCTTCCACAAGACAAGACCTTTAAATTACTGCTTTCCCTGAACCCTCACAATGGCAGAATTCTAATTAGTTGGATCCACTCACTGTGCGGGTAACTTGGGCATGCCAAAATGGTTGTACGGTGTGGCGTCTTTTTTTGGCACTTCGCCACCTGATTTGCTGGTGTTGAGAACAAATGACTCCGGGATTCCTGAAAAAGCATAAGAATGCAGCAATGTGACATAACTTACAGAGAAAAAATAACATTAGATACATCATCTTCCTTCTACTTTCTTCAACTATCAAGTTTTGATTTTAAATCAACACAAATAACTTTCTAACTTGTGCAGACACTTCAAATTGTGAAGGGAGCAGGTATCATAAAGAAATGATGATGTTTCTGACATCTCAAAAAATCTGCAAAGGAAAATGTTTCATCGTACCTAATGTGTAATTATCTTCCAGGACATGCCCATATATTTGGTAATTTATGTTTTATATTTTTTGTTGAAATTTCAATGTAAATCTTTTCCTTAAGCCATTGGGGTAACACCACTTTCTTTAATAAATAGAAATCTCAATATATTTTGATCAATTAAGCAATCTCACCATGCACTGCTGTCTTGGGCAATAACCCATGAAGACGGAGACAGTGTTTTTGCCGAGCATTTTAGATCTAAAACTCGGCAAGCAGCCCGAGACAAATATGCTGAGAAAGACATAATCAGATGGTCTGTCACAGGTGCTGGAATGAACAAATAACTAGGCTATAGGTACTAATTATTGAGAGATCTTCATTGATTCTTCTTCATTATCTCTAATCTGAAAAAAAAAACATGATTTAAATTTCAACTCTTTGGTTTAGAACATCTGATTTAGCCACATAAATTTGAATCCAATAACAGCAACAGTTTAATATAATGGCATTCTTAACCTTTGTTTCAAAGTATATAAAAGTGTGTTTGCTTCAAAATATAAATATATAATGATTAGAAACCTGTGTTTAGGACCATAGGACATCTTCAGGATGCAGAGATCAAAAATAATGAGATGCATATCATCACCCACAGAACACAAAGTTGAACCAAGATATGAGGCCTGTTTTAAAAGCAAGTACCAGGTACCATTTCAAAATTATACTTCCGCAGGGCTGTAGCCGCCATTAGGCACAAGTGCGCTATTTAGCTATATACATCTGTTGGGAAGCCATAGACACCATTATGGAACTATCCAATTGAATCTACATCTATTAACTTGATTTCATAAGTGATTATACTTATTGAGAATTATGCCAACTGAAAAATCTGCACTAGTTTTTCTGAGGGTTTAACTTTAGTAAGTTGACATTTATTGCCAAATTTATGAAGTGTTTGGTAGAAACATTTTTAAGTAATGAAATGTATAGAAATGGTACAGAAATGGGTTAGGGCATTTAAAGATGGCGACACAAACATACTTAATGAGGGACTAATAAATGAAGTGGATGACCTTTAGTAATTACCAATGATCTGATTCAAAAAGTGCACTGCAGAGTGAAAAAAACAGCTATTCATGATTTTGTCCTTAACTGAAAAGTTCCTGCAGTCTCAACAAGTGTTCTTTACAAAATTGTGTCCAAAGCATCAAGCAGCACAGGGCCATTCCAAGACAGACTGTAAGTTAAAACGACTCAAGCAGTGGTTGTCTGACGAGGCAGCAGGCTTCTTAGACAATTGCATAAAAAATTGATCCCAAGATTGAATATACCTAGTCTTTCTCTCTAAAAAATCACTCTTCAGTTTTTATCTTGTATCTCTGAAAAATTGCAGTTAGCACTGTGAAATTTATTCACAACCTCAGGATTAATACTAGTGTATATTCTCAAAAATTGCCAGGCTTGTAATGCTAGTAGTTATTATTTACAAAGTAAATGAGGCACAATAAAAAAAATGTTGAATTAACATTTTTAATTAATAGGTACCAAAGTTGAAATTTTTGTTAAACAAAGTAAAGATAGAACTTGCATAGAATAATTGCAAAATGGTAAAGTTTATTCCTGTAGCAATGATGACAAAAAAAGCTAAACAGGACCTGAAAATGAAGCCTAAGTTGGAAAACTCTCTAAATGGACTTTGACATGAATGAGATAGTGGCCAATATATTTCTTTTCATTGCATTATAATTGGTCCTGAATGACTATAGAACAAGTTAGAGGGCCTAGTAATGTGTAGATGATTTTTTTACTGGGTATGGTATGTGACTATAAATGCTTTAATATCAATGGAAATTAAACACAGAAGTAAAGTAAGGAATGCCCATTCAATTGAATGAATAATTTTTCACACTATTTTTCCACGTCAAAATGGTATTTACTTCAGAAACAGCCTGTAATAATAATCAAGATAATCCAGTTTGGTAACTTAATCACACTATGTGACCATCCCTTGCATAAAATTCTAGTTTCACCAAGTTGATCAGTTCAAAAATTTCCACTCTATATAGAATATCTGGTATAAAATTTTCAATCACACATGATATGTACAATTCACACTAGTTGGGATATTTTGCCTCCAAACACAGGCCCTCCTGAATTCTATCCTGTGTCTACTTTAAGGACTATGAAACAAGAAACTTTTTGTAACTGTCTTGTGGGGGTGTAGTATTTATGGTATTTATTCCCATTGGTATTACATCCATAGGATATTGAGAAAATTTTTAATTACCACGGATCAAGCAATTACAAATGAACTGAGTAAAAAAATCCCTTGTTTACCACTACAGCAGACAATTGTACTGGTATCAACACTTTATGTTATGTGAATACTATTTTTTAGCACTGGTTTTATACTTTAAATATGATTATTTGACCTTGATGCTGCTGAAATTGCTATAAATTTATAATTTTTCTTAGCATAACAAGAGATGCTAAGTGCAGGCTTAGGATTGGAACTTTATTACTTAGTACCAATACTGTGACTTTATGGTGGCAAACTAATTTTTGGCCTTGCTCATATTCAGATGCATTCAAAAATGTATACTTAGCATTCACATTCTATTTTATAATACTTTGATATGAAATTATCTTACCATTCTTTAAGTTAAGTACAGTCAAATGGGGTAATAAGGGATGGTTTTGAGCGTTTTTTTTTCATTTCTATAAGTTCTTACCATGCAACATTTCATAAACAAGCTTGAGCTCATTTTAAAGGTATATGCAAGGGCCATTGTAGGGCATCTCTGAAAAAATTCCATATGCTATTTGCAAGGTGCCAGACGCAAAATAAAAGCCTCCTGAACTAACCCTGGGAACGGGGTAATAAGGGACACTTGAAATCAAACTCAATTTTAAAACATTTGAAGTAAGCAGAGTGTGCTTAACCATTACTAACAGTCCTCTGAAGTCTTCCTCTTCCTTTGTAGATGATGTAGATGTAAAATGAATGACATTTTCTGTGATTTTTACTTGTTTTTCCTTTATTGATACAATATTACCTTATCCATACATCACTGTATTATTGATGTGATATTACCTAATCCATGGACATGCCATTGAGCATTAACAACAACCTTGTCCACTGCAAGCATCATATCAGCAACCATGTAGCATTTCTTTTGTAGGTAAGCTTACAGGACAGCTTGTAATTTAACTAATTTTGCACCATTTTAATTGAGTCAAGTGAATTCACTATAACAAAAAAAAAAAGATTGTTAAAAACATACTTGAAACACAAACGAATATTTTATTGACAACCATCATATCTAAAAAAATTATAGTTTAGGTTAATTACTTTTCATTCTATATTGCCCGGTGAAAATTCTATCTATGATATTCTATGCACAGTTTGGTGATGACCAATGATGCACTAATTTTTTGACAAGTGAAATTTTTTTGCTGAGCAAGGTAAATCTAAGCAAAATTCTTTGTTGTTAATTGATTTTTTGTTAACTGGAGCATTTCCTAACCAAGGCTCTACTGTAAATGTGTTGTTAGGGGTGTTCCTTATTACCCCATCATGTGGAAATGGCCATGATTTTTTCTGGAATGAGATACGCTAATTCCGTCAATCACATTTTCAAGCCAACACCTGTGTGCAACTTTTATGCAAGTAAAATTTTTTAATACAGTGAATAATTTTTTTGCTACAGAGCTTAGCAGAGGTACTTTCCCAAAATCTCATTTTTTTCAAGGATTTTTTAGATGTAGTAAATGTATGATTTTTTAGCTTGCTTTATGCTATATAGATAGGAAAAATGTTTAACTTTATTCCACTATTTTTTGTTTTGCAATATTCTAATTAGTTAAGCTGCTACATTTCTACAAAATGTCAGAGGACTGTCCCTTATTACCCCGCCTGTCCCTTATTACCCCATTTGATGGTACTGTTTCAAAGGTTATTTTTTCTTAATGTTCTTATTTTACTTTGATTAATTATTTGTACAACATGTTTGCAATGACTGACTTAACTTGCACCATTGAACATCTGTTTTCACCAAGGCAAATGCCTTCCTAAAAAGCAAAAAGGAAGGCAAACAAAGCAGAAAGCAAATGCTTTTCTAAAGAAGAGTGCAGATCATATCAAAACTGGGCTCCTCAATCTTTTTAACACTAGCTATAGCCAATTTCAAAGCTTGGTTATTGAAAAAGGAGTGTTTCCAGTGCCTGTTTTTCAGAAGGATTAAAGTCTACTGCAATAAAATATATATATTAAAAATATTTTTGAAAACCATGTTTTCTGGTCTTTACAAAACTAAAAATAATGAAATAAAACAAATAAAAAAACACCTTTTCTTAACGGACAAAAAAGAAAAACATTTACTCTTAAATAACATTTAAGGGGAGCGTCTACCCTCAAATTGAAAATTTTTACTTTTTTGGTTTTTATACTAATTTTAAAGCTGACATTCTGCCCTATCCAACAATACCACTGCCATCTCTCTACGTTGATTTATGATTTCACGACATTTCATGAAAGGGGGGCGGGTATGGGAGTTCTTCAAGTAATTAGATAGGAACTAATTAGCTGCTGAGCTCTTTAAAAATAGTGTCTACTTGAGTTGTGCTGCAGTTACGTGTTTAGTCTCATCTTAAAGCTGACATTCTGGCCTATCCAATGGTACCACTACCATCTCTGTATCAAACGTCGTCTCCTGATTGTCAGCAGAGGAAGAAGAAACTCAGAAAATAGAAGGTGGTTTGGCATAGAGACGAAACAAAAGTTATTGATAGTGTTGGAGATTATGAAAAGCAAACAAAGGAACAACAAGTAGTGAATGAGAGTATTTTAAAATGCATCGGACATTTATCAGAGAGTATCGGAGCATAAATGCTCAAGTGGTAAATGCTTGGCGTCAGCACAGACGAATACATGCTGACATGAGCTTACTTGACATTTCTGGGAACTTAGTTTTAGCTACATTGAAGGCCTATGGAACAACCAGAAAGGCAACAGGTCATAAATGCAGTACTGGTAGTGCAGAAGAAAGTGTGCGGTACAACGAAAAAGGCCATGGGACTGCAAGAGGAGAGCATACACGCAGCAGATGCAAGCAGTGTCAGCGCAGAACACCTCACATATGCAAGATGTGCAAGGTTCCCTTGCATCCTGACTGCATGAAAAAATAACACACTTAGCCATAGATACTCTACTAGTTAGCTTTTGACAAATAAAAAGGAGTCTGTATGCATAGAGCTAACAAAGGACTATATTTATAGGTTTATTTCAATTTCTTCTAAAATCATGATTTTATAGCCGAATGGGCCCATATGTTCCTAAGCGGTATTTTTCATATTTTCAAATAAATTTCCGTTTTGAGCGTTTCAGTTGTTTATTGACATCATAAAGAG